GTTGTGTTGTGGGTTGTAGAGCTTTTTACTGTGTTCCAAACCAGACATAGTTACAGGGCATTTGCTGAAACAGAAGCTTCTTGTCTACTAGCGTCTCTCTAGCTACCACATTAAATCTGCAGAATGTTTTTTGGGAACAAATGGAGCTGACGAAAGGTGAGACACCTTTTAGAATAATTAGGATGGCGCCTGCTGGTAACTCTATATTTTAAGGATCTGTCAGCAATTTCCATTTATAGACCTATGTTTTCAGAGAATTTAGTTAATTGGGAAACTCCTTTCCATGCCATTAAATCATGAAAGAATTAGAGTGGATAAAAACCAATGATTTTTTTAAAAAAAATATATCAAATTGATTTAAATCAAAATTTAATTTTTTAAATTTATTTTTTATTTAAATCAGAAATATCTGATTTTTTTTAACAAATTTGAGCCATGATTTAAATCCATCCTGAAAGGAATGTCTCTGGCTGTATTCGTGCAGCTGAACAGAACTAACACATCCATATAGCTGCATTGCTGAGAAAAAAAAAAGGTGGGGGAAGGCGTTCATTTCTGTTTTTGCATTTTAATTGCATCTGTGTGCCTGTAGCAGAACATCTGGTTCCCTTTGGACGTGGAGGGTACAGTGCATGTTCTTGTTAATTGCACATGTATTGATCCGGTGTTTCATTATCTTTGAGAGAGAGAAACTTCCTGAATTGGAATCTTTCTCCACTAGGTGCTTTCCGGTCTAGGTTCCATCTGTGTCCTTCCTTTCATCTTGATTGTGGCTCAGGGTTGCTGTACAGTAATTGCATTAACTAAATGTTAACAGAGGTGACTATTTTAGGCATGGGTCTGTACATGCAGTAGAATAACATGAAGGATTCTGTATAGAGCCTCGTGGTGCAGTGGTTAAACTTCAATACTTCTGCCCAAACTCCGCTCGTGATCGGTCCCAGATAATCCGCTCAAGGTTCACTCAGCCTTCCATCCTTCTGAGATCGGTAAATTGAGTGCCCAGCTTGCTGGGAGCGGGGTGGGGCAGTGTGTAGCCTGCATAATTAAACTGTAAACCTCCCAGAGAGTGCTTTAAGTGTTATGGGGTGATTTTTAAGCAGTACACTTTTCTTCTTTTTTCTGGTATTCTAAGTCTTTAAAAAAACACAAACTACTGTGGTGCCCCGCTTAATGCTTACCCCGCTTGACGACGAATCCACTTCATGATGAAGTTTTTGCTATCGCTTTTGCTATTGCAAAACGATGTTTTAATGGGCAAAAACTGCTTTACGAGGATCAGTTCCCTGCTTCGGGAACCGATTCCTCGCATTACGACGATCAAAACAGCTGATCGTCGGGTTTTCAAAATGGCCACCGGCTGCTCAAAATGGCTCCCCACTGTGTTCAGGAAGGAATTTTTCACTGCACAGGCATGGAAAATGGCTGCCCTGTGGAGGATCGTTGCTGGACTCTGAGGTATTCAGCCCATTGGAACGAATTGAACGGGTTTTCAATGCATTTCAATGGGCTTTTTATTTCGCTTGACGAGGATTTCGCTCTACAGCGATTTCACTGGAACGGATTATCCTTGTCAAGCGAGACACCACTGTAACTGCAAGTAGAAACCAGCCTAGCAGGAAGGGCTGGAAAAGACGGATTATCCTTGTCAAGCGAGGCACCACTGTACCTGCAAGTAGAAACCAGCCTAGCAGGAAGGGCTGGAAAAGAACCTTTGTCTTGGAAGTGCGACTTCTGTACACACTAATATTAATAAAGTGCCATCAAATCAATTCTGATGGCGACCTTTTCCAGAGCTTTCTAGGTATAGAGTATTTAGAGGTGGTTTACCATGCATTTCTTCTGGAAGTGCCATGGAGCTGTGTAACTTGCCCAAGGCTATACAGGATGGCTTTTATTTTGAGAGGCACTGGGAATGGAATTTCTAATCTCTGTTTCTGCAGGTACAGTAGCTGCCTAATTCACTGAGCAGTCCAGCTAGCTTTCTGCATAGAGGGGAGGTGTTTTCCCTAACAGTTATGTGTTCAAAGTTAGAATCTCCCACCAGTTGTTGGTTTGAGGGAACTCTCAGTAAATTCCTGTCCTGGGTCCCTTCCTTTCTCAGTTCCCCTTCCCCAGCTGTGCGCTTGCAGGCAGCAATGGCAGAAAACTATGAATGCTTAGTTTTAATTTCTCTTTATACCCAGGACATAGCATTTATTTATATTTAATTACTTAAAATATTTTTATCCTGTCACTCCTTAAAAAGGACCCAAGGATTAAATTAGTAAAAGACGCTATTTACGTAAAAACTAGAAACAGTAAGTATGCAAATATTTTAAAAGAACCAGACAAATACTGTACGACACTAAAATGGCAAACAAAGTCAGCATCAAGAAAACATTAAATTATGATTTAATGATTTAAATCAAATCCACTCTAATCAAGCTAAAATTCCAGTTTTTAAATTTAAATCAAATCCACTCTAATCAAGCCACCCATTTCCCCTCCGAAAATGAATTTTATTTACCTCAGATTAGCCTCTGGTGTATCCATAGTCTTGAGCTAGATAACTGCTCTGTACGGTAGTACCCATCAGCATATAATTGCAAGAGATATGCCAGCATGATACTCTCCTCTGTTTCAGGAACCTTCCAAACAAAAATGAACTAGACATATGGGGACACTCTTTAAGTTGCAATGACTAACTGGCGACTGCAGTTCATTCCTTCCCACTGTCCTCAAGAGCCAGTTAATTATTTACCCTTCCATCACCCCCTGTGCTGTGTTTATTCACCTCCCCATATGTCATGCCTGGCTTGGCATTGTCCATCTGTCAGCCGTGCAATGAGAGCTGAAATGAATGTCCGTCTTTATGGCTTCTCTCTATTGTAATGTTGCAAAGAGAGGTATAATAGGTGGTGCTGTCACACTGAGGTGCAAGTAGAATTTTGTTAGCATGTACTATTTTGGGGATCTGCCTGAAATGTCCCAAAAATGTCATAACACCCCCCCCCCGCAATCACCTAAGAACTAATGTGTTTCTTAATCTAGTTTCTGCATTGGATGCTAAGCTTTTGTCCCATTTTTCCCTTTCATTTACTAACCTTCTCTTTGCTCTTAAGTCTTGACCTGGTGCTGCCGCTTGACCTTTCAAGTAAGAGAGAGAGAGAGAGAGTTCATTCCACAACCCTTTTCTTTCTTTCTTTCTTTCTTTCGTTCATTCCACAACCCTTTTCTTATCACTAGGTTATGGATGGGCAATCTTTTGAGTGCTAGGGACCACTCTCAGCCCTGAACATTGGAGGGCCAGACCTTCTCCTGCGATGTCCTCATCCTTCAAAAATATCATATAAAAATCAGAGGTGTTTTCTTTACCGAAAACTCCCTTGCACCCTCTAGTGGCAATAAATATATATTTTAAATTAGGAGGTACGGGGGCACTCAAGAGTTCAGGGGAGGCTTGAAAGCATGGCAAAATTACCCCCATGGCCCCATAGGGCACTGGGGAACATTTGAGCCAAAATCTTTTGTTAAGTTTTTAAAAAACAATATGATGCTGCTGGGGGGATATTTGGGATCTTGGTGGGGTGCATGCAATGCACAGCCCATGTTAGAGTCTAAGCATAAAGAACCATATAAATCAGGGATGGGAATAATATAGGCCTATGCCTATATTTGTCTCCAAGATATCCTTCCCAATATATTTTCTGATTGTTTTTTTTTAACAAAATAATAGATAAATCAGAAGTTGTTTATAGTTGGGATGTTTTGGTTAGTAGAGAAACCAGGTTGTGACTTTCCAATGTATAAGGAAATACTATGCTAATGCTGACCATCCAACATGAAGAATATGGCACATTTTGATGTAGAGATACAAATCATGATTTTGCAAAAGAGACACACTGTTCATATTAATAGGTGTTTCATGCCCTAACCTGTGACAGCCCCATTCTTATCTTGTCAGATACAGAGATGGAAATCCATTTTATATTTACATGGAAGTTTAGAATTAGAGAATTTACTAGGTGCATCTGTGCACCTAGTAAGATTTTAGGTGGAGTGGATAATTTGAGACAGTGATAGACAAGGTTCACCTGTTCCGACATTCTAAGATGAGCAGTCAGGGAGCAAACTGGACTGGAGAGCTACAGCAGTTTCTACCATTCCCACTACGACTCACATCCTATACGTGGTAACTCATATAACAAATGGGATTTTTTTCTAGGCCCTATGCTTCTGTTGCCTGGGCTTGCACAAAAAGGGGGCTCATGAGTCAGAAGCTGGTGCTCTACTCCTGCCTTTATTTGAATTTTTCAGATTTCCCTACGCTCCTAGCTTTTTGGGGTGCTTGCATTTTTCACGTGCATTATATGTTCCGACACCTTCATGCTCATCCAGTGAGCCATGGTGCAGAGTAGAAATGAGTGGAGAGACGGGTGCTTGGGTGTTAAAGCCACCTCAGAAACCAAAATTAAACCTTCTCTTCCTCTGGCATTGTTTACCTAGATATTTCTCTTTCTGATAGAGGCTTGGAAAGCCAGAGCAATTCCCTGAGACTTCAGCTAGTTCTCTGAGCTGGGCCCCAGAGTGTCCCCCTAATACACCATCATCCTCTGACTTCCCCGTGCTTGGAAGGAGAAATTGGCTCCACAAATGCAAGTCTTCCTTTGACCCTAGAGTATGCAAGTTGCTCTATGTTTTAGGCCTTAAAGCCCTTTATAAAATTGAAATAATGAGCTGGTCGCTTGTTTCTTTTTGAAAAGCCTTTCGAAACCTTAAAAACTAAGCTTAAAGGGAGCAAAATTATGCTTACTCAGCAGATCTTCGCCTCCTGGAGGCCATGGGTAATATTTGCATTGGGGGAATATTGTTGAAGATGCTTCTCAGCCCTTGGATATTGCTCACTCCGTTTGAAATGTAGCAGGTTTTGAGTTGGGAAAGAAAGGGAGTGTGCAGGTTTTCTTTCAAACATATTTTGTATTTGAAACTGAGAGTTCTGCTCATTTTTCCTCTCTTAGGGCCTTTCCGTTCTTGGTTCCTTCTCCAGTGTGATGGAAAATTCTTCCGTGGCTTCGGCCTCCTCTGAGGCTGGAAGCAATCGTTCGCAGGAAATTGAGGAGCTGGAGCGCTTCATTGACAGCTACGTTTTAGAATATCAAGTCCAGGGCCTGTTGACTGACAAGACAGACGGGGATGGGGAGAGCGAGATCACGCAGTCCAATGTCTCACAGGTTGGTATGAAATGAAGCTCCTGCAAAGTCACGGTAGTACAAGGAATGAGGAGGTTTGAAGTTCTTTATTTTACCCCACCCCAAGATTAGTTAATGTGCAATTAGAAGTATTTTAATAAAGAAATGGGTATGCTTTCTACAAGAACAGGATGGAAAAGTTTCAAACTCAAAAAGAGATTTTTTTAAAAAAATAAATCTATGTTGTTGATGTGCTCCAGCTTGTAATCATTTGGAAAAGTTGGTATGTGACCATAGAGACTTCTGTCCGGGATTGATACAAACTTTATTATATTACACTCTGGCATTTTGCTGCCACTGTTTCACCAGGGGTTCCCAACCATTTTCACCCTGTGGACCGGCTAGGGAAGGCGGGGCGCCCCCCCCATGCTCATGCACAAGGGTGAATGTCGGTGTGGCGCTTGAGTGAACAGCGCCACTGCCATTTGTGCATGCACACGAGCACACCCGCACAAGCACCGCACCTCCATTCATGTGTGATCACAAACGCACCCACAGGTGCAAACAGCCTTTGCGGGGGTGAGTGTGTGCGGGGAGTGGGGCAGGAGGTCTGTTTTCACGGCCCGGTATGGCTCACGCTGTTCTCCTCTTACTATATGCAGTGTTAACTCTGCTTTATCTCTTGAACCAGTGATTTTATTCATTGCCTTTCTGTTCCTCCCTCTTCCCCCCCCCTTTCTTATTTAGTGGACAGCTGACTGCAATGAACAGGTAGAAGGCCGTGGTTCTGCCTCCAGGGGCAAAGACTTAGGACCTCGTAATCAAAACCAGGTAAGGGAAATGGAATTAATTATTCAGCTAGAATTGTGTATGCCTGAGCATAGCTTTTCCTACATTTTTCCTAACTGCAAACCTTGAGGTTTGCATCTGAGCACGGAATAACAATTTACAGTGGTGCCTCGCACAGCGAGGTTAATCCGTTCCGGATTAACCCTTGCTGTGTGAAAGCATCGTTGAACGGGGCAAGAAAACCAATTGGAATGCATTAAACAGTGTTTAATGCATTCCAATTGGGCTGAATACTCACCGTTCAACGATGCTTCCGGGCAGCTGGCAGCCATTTTCGCGCCCTCCCCTCGCTGAACGAGGGCGCGAAATTGGCTGCGATCAGCTGTCCGGCGGGTCCAAAATGGCCGCCGGAACAGCCGAAATGGCCGGCCGCAGCTGGCCATTTTGGGGTCGTGTGGCGGCCATTTTGGACCCGCCGACCAGCTGATCGGCGGGTTGCAAAGCGAAGGTCAGTAAGCGAACCGTTTACCGACCTTCGCTCTGTGAATTGTGCCCTATCTAGGTGCCGTTTAAGCGATCGCAAAAACGACACCGTTGCGCGGATTCGTCGCTCTACGGAGCGACCGTTCTGCGAGGCACCACTGTAATCTCATTTTCCAGGAAGCTTTTCCATGGGATCCTACAGTCTTGCTGGTAGTAGTACAGAAAAAGCTTGTTTGCCTGAACTTTCAGTGGCAGTGAAAGATTTTATCTAAAAAGGTCCCTCCCCCCTTGGAAAATAGTTATCTGAAGGAAGACATTGTTTCTGGAATGCTCAGACTTGCTACTTTGTTCGGGTTGCAGGTTTCCTAAACAATGCTGGCTATTAAAATTGTTAGGGACTGCTGGGGCTATGGTATCTATACTTCTTGGAATAAATATATGTACCAGTTGGCTAAATCTTAAACAAAGACTTTGCGAGAGAATTCAGCGTCTCTGGAAGTGTTGATAACCCTCAGGCTGTTTGCAAACTAACTTTCCTAAATCTCAGCTGGTAGATGGCATTAAGTCAAAGGCATTTCTTGCTTAATGTTTTAAAGTTTAGCAAGTTTACTATCATCTTATTTAGCTCCTCTGCTAAATGTCTAATCTCGAGAAAGCCCCAAAATAATTAACAAAGAAATATGTTACTTAAACCTGTTTCTCAGCTTAAAATACTTTGTGTCTCAATGATAGTTTAAAGCAAGATTCTGTTGATATGATTTACCAAATACGATCCCTGTTGAATTTACTGGGATTTATTTATTTTTGCAAAGACCCATCCTTATTTTGCTGTTAATGGGCTAAATTCAGTGTTTCATGCCACTGAGTTTCCTTTCCCATAATAACACCGCCCTACGCACACCCCAGTTGAGTTCTGCAAGATGCTCCAAACATTTTGAAGCATATTGGGAAAGTACAGGGGAAAAGTGGGGGATGGTTTGAATTCTCAGCTGTTTTTTACACTCCTGCTGGGAAGATAAGTTAGGTGCAATTCCAGTGTCCTTCCAATTGAAAATTTGCAACTTTAGGAGTATCACCTGAATTAATGCCGAATATACAGTGGTGCCTCGCTAGACGAACGTTCCTATGGCCCTGCTTTGCAAGACGAAGCAGGGCCTACTTTGCCGTGGGAGGGCGGGGTGCCCCCTCACCGACTGCTGCTTTTAGAGGTCCTCCTTTCAGAGGTCCTCCGCCAGTCTTACCAGTGCTTTGCCGTGGGGGCGGGGTGGCCCCCCCACTGAGTGCCGCTTTCAGAGGTCCTCCGCCAGTCTTACCAGCACCATCGGAGCCTGGACCCAGCAGGGAGGCGGCAGCCATTTTGTTCTCTTCTCCGCTCCCTCCCCGCCTCACAGCTGATTGGCGCTCGGTCTTAGAGGCTTCCCCAGGCTTGCCCAGCACCCAAAAAGAGCTGGAAATAAAAAAATTGTGCTTTCCCCCTGCTCCTGAGGAAACTTCTGAAATCCGTGGGGGGGCTGAGGGGAGCTATTTCCAGCTCTTTTTCGGTGCTGGGCAAGCCCGGGGAAAGCTTCTAAGACCCAGTGCCAATCAGCTGTGAGGCAAGGAGGCTGGAGCGGAGAAAAGCACAAAATGGCTGCTGCCTCCCTGCTGGGTCTGGGCTCTCAGCTGTTTGGCACTCTTTTTTCTGCTTTTGGGGCTACCAAGGCACTGTGAGGAGCTGGGCTCAGTCTACAGTACCTGGTAAGTGACTTTATTTTATTTTAATTTTTTGGACTTTTTTTCCCCCTTAGGAATGCATTAATTAAATTTCAGTGCATTCCTATGGGAAACTCTGCCTCACAAGACGAACTTTTCACTAGATGGCATTAGCTGTGGAACAGATTAATTTTGTCTTGCAAGGCACCATCATAGGCATCCTTTAGTCTCGAGAGATTATGGTATCATGCTCTGCATGGAGGACTTGGAACAGCGTCTAGTGTGGCTGAGGAGGCCAATTCAAGAGTGACAATCTCTTCCACACTTAGGACAAGTACAGTCTGTACTCCGTCTAGCTCCTTGATTTTGCTGCTTTTGTGACTGCCTCTTTGCCTCAGCCTGCTGGGTGAGGGTCTCTTCAAATTGGGAGAGGCCGTGATGCACCACATGCCTCCAGGCTGAACGCTCAGATGTCAAGGTTTCCTATCTGTTGAGATCCATTTCCAAGGCCTTCAAATCCCGCTTGCAGATAGTTTTTCACTAGCATTCTTTCATAATTTGTGCAGGAACAATGTTGAGTTCAAATTAGACCCTGTCTCAGTTTGTTAGATTGGGGAGTGGGATGCAGAATGACAGTGGCAGAGTTTGGCCAGAAGACTCATTGCATTAAATTGGAGACATGTATAATCACATTAAAGGGAACTTCTGTATTCTGTGCTTGGATGTCCACGTTTCACTGGCCACCAGGACTGCATTTGTACAATTGAAGTGAGGACAGCAGCTGCATCTGTTCTTGGAAATGTCTGATGTGGCTACCGTGAAGTATGCTTTGGTTGTATCCTGCTTGGATTGCAGCAACATGCTCCACCTGAGGTTTTCTCTATAAAGAGTTTGAAAGCTTTAGCTGGTACAAAATGCTGTAGGTAAACTACATGCTTGGGAGAATACAGCTCCCCTGTTATATAGGAGCACCTCCAGCTGCTGATCTGTTTCTGGACCCATTTAATGTGCTAGTAGAACTATACATCTTGATATGATTTGGGCCCAAGCTATTTGAAGGACTCTAATTTTATTTTATTTTTGCCCTGGATTTTAAGATCTTCAGGAAGCATCTGTCCTTGATCTTGCCATCCTCACAGGCTTGCTTGTTGAGAAAAGCTTTTCAGCAGCTGTTCCCACATTGTAAGTTTGGGTTGGCTGCTTCCTTCCCTCCTTTTCTTTTCCATCAATAGGCAAAGCCTTTCCTTTTGAGCAAACCTTTAGCAATCAATGGGAAAGTTAAGAGAAAGGTCTTATTGTGGAATTATGTATGTTCAGTGTTTTTGTGCAAATACTTTTTGTGTGTTTAAACTGTTTTTAAATGACTAGTCTCCTGAACATTGTCATAGGCTTAATAGTTTCTTAATGTTGAATTTATTGTGCTTTTGTTGCATCTGGTTTTTTTAACCATTTGTGAACTGTCTCCACTCCCTTTGCTGGGAGAAGGTTGATAATGAATGAATGAACCAATATATTTAAATTGTTTTGGATCTGTTGGGTAGAGTGATAGCTTTCTAAATATACATGCAATTTCTGTTCTGTACTAAAAGCTAATACATATACCAATGACATCAATAATACAAGGAAGGTTAGCTTAAATTCACTCTTTCTGCTGTGTAACTGTAGCTTCTAAGTTCCTTTTCTGGTCAGAATTGGGATTGTTTAGTGATTATTGGCTTCATTAAACAGCAGAGGAGAGACATCGCATGGTTGCAGTGCTGGTTTCCGATTCTGCCTTTTACTCTTTAGTAGATGCTTAAGTGATAGGTGAACAAGAGCAGGGTGTTTTGAATCACAGGCCAGTGGTTTGGAGGGTTCAGATTTTTTTTTTTAGTACTGTAACTAAAAAGGTAGCCATTTTGTTTGCTCCCCTTTGGTTTTCCTGCTTGTGTGCCAGCTTTGAACTGTGACTACATGCAGAAAGATGTTGGTACAAACACCTTCATCTCTGCCGGTGATTTGCAAAGACCTAACCTCTTTTGACCTGGATCCAAAGACTCATTGCATCATGAGGTTGGCTCACCACTCAGGAATTGTTTCAGTGGGTCTGCTCGAACTGGAACCAGCAGCTTGACTTAGGCCTCTCCCATGAGAATTTCCAAATGGAATCCCATCGGGTTTACTGTGCAGACCTACACACGTCTACTCAAGATGTACCGTATTTTTCGCACCATAAGACGCACTTTTCCCCCACAAAACAGGGGGGTAGAAAGTCTGTGTGTCTTATGGAGCGAAAAATACGGGGTAAATCCACTATGTTCAGTGAGAATTCTAGGCAAATAGGTATTGCGTTGCAGCCTTCTTGATTTGTTGCATGTGAACTAGACACATACTCAGTAAGGCTTTGTCCCCTGTGCGTATGACGGTAGCCTTTACTTTAGGGTGGGCAAATTCCTGAAGTCCAGGAGGTACTTTGCAGCCACCAGAATGTGCTATGGGGGATAGAACAAATCACTGGAGGATAGTCTCTGTACTTTTAATTTCGAATTGCCATTGTGGGGTGGTCTCTAGAGGTGAAGTTGCCTTTTTTTGGCCCTTTCCCAAATTAGGTGCAAGGCTTTGCTGCGGCAATGACTCCCAGACTGGTATTCATTTGGGTTTCTTCTTCCCCTTCCCCCAAGGAGGTTGTAGGTAGTTGCTTCAATTTCTTCCTGCGCTATGTTATGCCCACTACACACTGTCAGGTGGGCTGAGCTGTGTGTGTATGTAGTTATGTATGAAACACTGAGGTTTGAGACTGAAGCGAGGCTGATACTGGCTGTTCCTAGTCAAGGAGCTAGTGAGTGGTTACTACAGACAGTTTTACAATTTACTTTTATTTTTCTTCATATTGAAATGTTGGGGCTTTGTTAGGTTTGTGGAATAGCTTCTGAGAGCCTTTGGAAAACCACTATCCTAAGACTCACAGGAGTTGCTTAATGGCAAAGCATCTCACACCATAATACAGTGAAGGTTTTTTGTTTGTTCGTTCGTTCATTCGTTTTTCATTCATTCGTTCTTTTAAGTGTTGCAGAATTTAAAATTATGGACATAATTGAAATGTAGGTAACGTTAATAAATTTAAATTAAGATGTTGAAATAATTAGACTTATTTTTGACCAGAAGCCTGGTCAAATATTTATATTTTGATCAGGGCTATACTTCAATAGCCATTTCTTAGATCTTTTGTATATGTGGTGGGGTATAAGTTGCACACACACAACTGCTTCTTGGTAAAATGTTGGACTGCTAGCTAATTAATACTTAAAGGGCCTCACAAAATGAATTAAGCAAAATAAGCAGGGGTGGGGGGAAATTCCATTGTATGTCTCGTGGTATTTACAGAATTAAATTCTGCTTGGATTTTTATATATCTTTTCTTATAGTATAATAAATACAACAAGCTAGGAAGGGAAAGGTTTGAAAATGAGTTTCAAACTGGGAATGTCTGTGACAGTTCAAGGGTGTTTCCAAGATAGGTTAGCCAAAATGGATTATGGGCTAAATAATTTGATTTAACTATTCCACAATCGATGAGCATTTCTACTCTTGTACAGTAAATAATTTCACAAATGTTACTTAGCCCATGCATTGTTTTTACTAATAGCCTGCGTTTCTATATTGACCCAGGAGTAGAAAAAATCCTTCTCCTTCTGAGGCCAGCATGGAAAAGCAGAACCCTAAGCTTCTTTGCAGGCTAATAAAAATAGAATAAAACAAAATGAGAAATCTGCTTTTTCTGGAACCGGCACAGATCTGAGGGACAGACTGTCCTTCCTTCAGAGGCAGCACAGAAACAAGAGCTTGGGAAAGATGGAGATAAATACACGCCCCAGAATCCCTCAGCCAGTATTGCCGAAAACCAAGGTAGCTGTGGTATTTAGGGGAGTTGTAGTCCAGAAAGTGACTTTTTCCAAGCTCTGGCAAAAACCAACAACAATGGAGGAGGAGGAGGAACAGAATGATTTGTCTTGTTCTCCTCTCAATACCAAGGCTACTGAGTCCCCTGCATTGAATTCTGATGCTCATGGCAGGGGGCAGAAAGGGAGGGCACAGTAATTTCCTGCTTCCAAAATTTCAAGTTGGCACAAAACAAAATGACAAATAGCGAGTTTGGTTTTGAACCAACGTGTGTGTTTTTTTTTTAAGTCTTTAAAAATGTGTTTATTTAAAAGAAGAATCACTGCTCCTGGAGGTTTCCCCAAGCAGCTATTTTTTTAAATCCTTTTTGTTGATCTTACTTGATTTCCTTTCAGGGGTATTTGCAAGTCTTTGGGTCCAACTTCCTTATTATTAAAAACAAGTGTTTTTTTCCCCTCCGAAAAGAGGAGTTGTGAGTCAGGTCCAAGCCTTCTGGGGGTATGTGTGTGTGTGTGGGGAAACCGAGTCGAGTTGCCGGTGCAACTTAAGTCTGACTTGAGAGCGAATCCTGTGACTCGCGCCATCGTCCCTGTTTTATTTTTTTTACTTTTTCCTCATAGGAGAGGATTCTGGAAGGGCCCCAAAATTGAAAAGCGGCCCCAAGCTCCACATGTCATCCATGAGCGCCACCGTCCTACCCCTGACCTACCGCGACCAAGTCTTTTTATGAAATATAGAGCTGGACATGCTGGGAGCTGAGGACGGGCTCCTTGCTTCCTCTCCCCCCCCCCCAAAAAAAAGGGCGATGATAAGTTTTGCTAAGTTGTCCTTGACTAAAGTGAGCTGTTTGTTGTTTCCAGGAAGACTGGGATCAAAGCAGCAGTGGCAGTTCAGGATCCCGGCCTAGTTCAGGCTCCAGGCGGGGGTCTATATCAAGGTCTGGCGGCCGAGGGAGAAGCCACCAGTTCAGGCCTTCGACCAAGGTATCCGCTGGTGCTGGCGCTGGGAGGCAGACCAGGAAAGCTGGAAGCGGCGTCTCCTCCGTTGGTTGCTGTGGCTTGTAGCCTTCACCCTCTAGAGACCTTAGCGTTTTGGCTTTGCGTGGTTTTTGTGTGTGTGTGTGTATCTTGTGCAGAATCTGTAGAGGAACAAACTAGCCTTTGCTTGTTGATAAAGGGACACGCTCTGGGACTGCAAAACCCCAGAATTCTGCAGTTTAGGTTTGTCAGGATAAATGAAACGCCCTCGCACAGGTATGTCAAATTCCACAGTCCGTTCGGTTGTCCGAACTCAAGTTCGAATGGTTTTCAGAACCCGTATGTTATAAACAGTGTTTCCTGTTTTGCTGGAGAAGGCTCTTTAAGGAACAAGGACATGGATGGGGGAAGAGAGAAAATGGATTTTGTTCTCTAAAAAGAACTGTCCTCTGATAAACAAGATGTTCGTTACAGCAGAAAACCACACAGCTTTCTCTTCCCCTCCACTGATGTTATTTTTTTTAAAAAACACAACTTATAATACATGTTGGGAGTTAAAAAGTAAAGCATGTATCTAGCAGGCCAAACAAAGTATAATAGTAGTAGGCACAAAAATGAATATAGTTCTTCTCAACAAACTCGACATACGTCTGAAACCATTTCAGCTTCTTTAAATTTGTTGGTATAAGAGCCCATTCGTTTCTCAGCTTGGATTTTCCAATTTGAATCAATAGCCTAGCACTGCCCCCCCCATCAATTGCCCTCTTGATGTCTCAAACTACCAGTACAGACGATGGGCTGAGGTGTGGAGGGAGGCTGGTAGAACATCCTAGTTCCGCTTTTACATAAAGCAAGCTGGGAAGTTTCCTAGATTCCATTTCAAAAATCAGATGCCAAATGGGAGCCAGCATTATGTAATAGACAAGGACTCAGGAGGCCTGGGTTCAGATTACGCTGGGTAGAGTCTCTCAGCTTTAAAGATGAAGAAGAGAAGAAGATCCTCATGTACTTCATCTCATTGGCAGGAAGGCGAGATGCAAATGTCACTAGGGAATATATCATAAAAGAAACAAATGGAATGAAGTTTACAGGGAATCATTCTTGAACCCATTGTTTTGCATTTTTAAGTTTCATTGTTGAAAAAAGAGGCTTCCCATCCTATCAGTAGACTCTTCTATGCTGGCATGAACGTGTGGTCATATGTGCACCTGGTGGGTCTCCTAAGGGAGAATGGAAGCCTAGACAGCAGTATGAGCGATGACCATGTGTGGGAAGTACAAAAGACAAGGGACCAAGCTGTAGGAGAAAGGGGTGCATACTCCTTGAATTCAGACCCGTGAAGCTAAATGCCTCTTGATTCAAGTGGCACCGCCAGCAAACATTTTCCGGCTGCTCTTTTCCATGCCGTCTATACAAACAACAGAAATTAGGAGAGAACACTGGCCACTCTGCTGCCTTGTTGTGCTGTTTTGCTTTTTTGGTTGCGTATTATGTGGATCAGAGAGCTTTGTTCAGTCCTTAGAGCGACGTGTGAATTTGCTTTGCCCTCCCATTGTTGCTTTGCTCGCACAGAGCCACAGGGTCTAAAGAAAGCAGCCTTGTGACTACTCATAAATGCTCACCACACAAGCCAGAAAGCAGGGAAATGAAGTTTCTGGCTCAAGTGGGGAGAGCTTGTTGCTTTTATGTGAGGAAAGCCAACACCAGAGAAGGCATAGCTGGTGCACCTCTCTTTTTGTGTGTTGAACAAACACACCACCCTAAGGATTGAATAGATTTCTGTTAATAAGTTTCGAAGCAACGTTTAGCATTCAAATTGTGAGCCTATCGGCGTTAAGAAGAAAAGAGCCGTTGTCTGAATGAGAATTGTCCAGCCACAGCAGTGTCTTGGCCACAGATTCTTCCTGATTACAGATCCCTTTCTGTTTCTCAAAGCTTCACTCACAAGAGGTAAAGAGTGTGCAATTGTTTTCGGTACAGTTTTTGGTTACATGAAAGAGAAGCGAGGGAAAGACCTTGATGCTCGTATTGGGGTCAACTGTTCTGCTCCCATCCTCCAGTTTACTCCCTGAGAGACAAAGGGTGATAATGAAATCTATGTTGAGCAATCTTGTAAACAGACTCTGTGGCAGGTTTCAATTACAACCCATTTACCGATTTTTTCCAGTTCACTGTGCAAGTGTATGCCACTGTCATTGGTTCATGGTGTTGGCCAAGGCCAGTATTTGGCAACAGTTAATTGCGTTGGGCAAGTTGTGTGGTGAGCTTGTGGTAAACACCATTTGAAATTAATGATACAGGTTGTCTCTCATTCTTTTTCTTTTCTTTTCTTTTAGAATGGCAACAAAGAAAGTTCCTTGGACATGCTGGGCACAGATATTTGGGCAGCCAATACTCTTGAATCCTTCAGGTGAGTTCTTGGTTTATCAAGACAGTTTCCGGACCAATAATTTCCATAGACTTAAAAAAAAGATACCTTCTTATATTGGCTAGGATTTTGCAAACAAATGAATTATTTTAGAAAAAACATTCAATACCTCTGTGTCTGTGTACCTCTGTTTATTGCTTCCCTTTGTATCGGATATTCATGAGTTTAAACCATTCTTAAATTGTTTTTAAACTTGATTTTTTAAATTTTAATATATGTTTGATTTTTTAAAAAAAATACAACATGGATATAGTGCTTGTAAATCTGTTGTTTTATCTGTTGTGAGCTGCCTTGAGTGTCCAATGGGGATGAAGGCAGCATATAAATAAATAAAATTACAGCGTATCATATCTTGACAGAGCAGTCAAGCACTGAGTTTACTGTACTCTTGAGCACCCTTAGGGGAGAGCTGTGGGTTCTCCACAGTTATCTGCATAACTGTCTTTATCTTGCCTTTCTCCCATATGGTGCTTCTCAGCACAACTAAAACATAAAAATATGAATAAACCAAGGGTTTTGGGAGAAACGCCAAGGTCCAGGGACTCATGCAAAACTACCTGTTGATACCAGTCCATATGAAGATAAGAGGAATGTTGTCTGGTTGGCACAAAAAAACCCAGCAAGGTTCGTGTTTGCAACAGGCAGACTTAAAGGTGTACAAGTGGCCCCATTCGGAAGAGCCGTGAGTGGCGTATACTTCATACAATCAATGGATAATAGATTTTGGAATATAAAGTGCAGTCTTACACAAAGAAAAAAAGTCTCTAGACCCTCTCATTCAGGACTTGAGTGTACAGACATGAAAGTTTCAGGCAGAATTTTTTGCTAGCTTGAAGGGACATGGGTTGAATCTGGTATGTTTTGCATGTAGAACATATATTGTAGCCTTCACTTTAAACCCTTCCTTAGTCTCCCTCCACTCTAGCCGCCTAGAGTGGTCTTTTAGACCAGATGGGTGGGGTATAAATCAAATAAATAAATAGACGTTTGAAGGATCATGTCCGCTTGCATCCTTTGGACGAGGCTCCACCTCTTTTTAACCACTGTGTTACAATGGTCTTGATTTGTGTACAGTGGTGCCTCGCACAGCGAGGTTAATCCTTTCCGGATTAAGCCTCGCTGTGTGAAAACATCGCTGAGCAGGACAGAAAAGCCCATTGGAATGCAGTAAACAGTGTTTAATGGGTTCCAAAAGGCTCCTTTCCTCAACGTTCAGCGATGTTCCTCTATGGCCGGCAGCCATTTTCGCGCCCTCCCCTTGCTTAATGAGGGCGCGAAAACGCTGCGCGTGGCCATTTTGCGACTTCCAGCGGCCATTTTGTAGCCGCCGAACAGCTGATCGGTGGGTCGCAAAGCGAAGGTCGGTAAGCGAACCGCTTACCGACCTTCGCTCTGCAATTTTCGGCCATAGGGGCCATCGGTATGCGATCGCATTTGTGATCGCGAAAATGTCCTCGTAGAGCAAATTCATCGCTCTACAGGGCGCTCGTTGTGCGAGGCACCACTGTATTTGTCCATTGCATTTATCTCCCAACTTTGCTCCACTGAAATCACAGCGGTGTGCATGTCTGTCCTACTCCCGCTTCATCCTTAGAATAGATCTGTCAGGTAGCTCAAGCTGAAAATGTGTGTCCCCTTCATGACCAAGTGAGGTTCCTTTGAGTCTTCCTCTGCCACTCTTAAGTTCTGATCTACTTATCGGACTCGCTCACTGTTCAGTGGTTCATGCAAAACCCGGATCCCCTATCAGATCCACTCATCCTTTTGTGGTGCCTGTCTCTCAATTTTCTTGCTCATTGTTGCTTTTCTAGTGGTGCCACTTGGGACCTGCAACCTGAAAAACTTGACTTCACACAGTTCCACAGAAAGCTTCGGAACACCCCCAAGCAGTCAGCCCCACACATAGACAGAGAAGGGTAAGTAACCGGTTTGCCCCTAAAAAGTCAGAGCTTACAAATTCTGTTTCAGTTGGAAGGCAGGAAGAAGTCTTTCGCCGTTGATGTTCAAGGAGGGAACTCAGAATTACAGTGGGGTCTTGACTTGAGAACTTAAGCCGTATTGGAAGGCAGTTCTCAAGTCAAAAAGTCTGTAAGTCAAGTCTCCATTGACCCTACAGTGCATTGAAAACCGATTAATCCCGTAACAGGCCGTTTTTGTTCCATTTTGTTTTTTTTTCTGGTCTGTAAGTCAAATCTCAGGCTGCAAGTCAAACCTAAATTTTGCGGCCAGAGAAGTCTGTAACTCAAAAAGTCTGTAAGTCAAGCCGTAAGTCAAGGGTCCACTGTAAGGGACTTCTTAGAGAATTCCAGTGGTGTCCATAACAAGCAGTGACCCTTAATAAAACATTCCAGCATATGGCAAGCCTGTAACATAGCGGCTCAAAACTTTTCAGCATCTCACACACTTCCTGGATTCTTGCGAAACGTACATGCCTTCCTGCTTCTCCTCTCCTTTATCATACAAAAAATAATAATTCAGCATTGTAAATTAAGAATAAACATTGACATTTAGTTAAAAAAGTAATTTAATTGTATAAAATTTGAAACTGGAAAAAAAAAGGGTAAAGTTCAGCAAAATACTTTTTTCCTGAAAATCTCTCCTTTTTTTGGCCACTGCCACCACTCTTTTACAGAGGAAGAGCCTGCATCTCGGCAGTGGCAGTTCACCTAATTCCGTGTAATTCATGCTTACTTCGGATTTAGGTTCCAGTGGGGAAAAGACTGAAAGAATTGGGCATCTCTGGCCTTCAGAAAAGAAGGCAGAGGGGTGATATGATAACACTTTTCAAATACTTGAAAGGCTGTCATACAGAACAGGGACAGAATCTGATCTCGATCAACCCAGAGTGTAGGACACGCAAAAAGGGACTCAAGTTAGAGGAAGCCAGAATTCATTTGAATATCAGGAAAAACCTCCTAACTGTTAGAGCAGTACGACAGTGGAACTAGTTACCTTGAGAGGTGGCGAGTGCCCCAACATTGGAGGCATTCAAGAGAAAACTTAAGACAACCACCTGGCAGGTATCCTTTGATTTGTATTCCTGCCTTGAGACTTGATGATCTTATGGGCCCCTTCCGACTTCATTATTCAATGATTCTACGATGCATGCAGGTTGAAATTTCTCCATGCAATTTCCCAGAGCATCTCTACTTTTGCCTACATTTCCTAGAGCTTACAATGGATATCAGAGCTTGGAAGAGTTGCTTTGGGGAACTACATCTCCCAGCGTCCCTGAGCTAACATTTCCACTGCGTTCCAGACACAGGGAATCTCCCTACTGTTTTCTTCCCAATGATGTTCACTGCAGGTTGTGTGATAGCTATAACAAATGCATTTGTCCCTACTTTTCCTTCTTGGTACTGAATTTTACTGAAGATATCTATAGCTTAAAATACCCAACCAAGTCTTAGACCTCCATACCTCCCTCTCACCAGGTTTTTTTTAAATTTCTCCTGATGAAGAATTCTGGAGATCTTGAACATTTGCAGATTTCTTCATAAGGATTTTGTTGTTCGAAGATTCGTTTCTCATTTATTTTGTACTGACTAGACATAGTTTATGTGTTAGTTTATAGCTTAGTTCATCCCTCAGGCATAATTACATCCAATGGTTAAAATGGGTTGATGGGAATTCTCTCCTCCAGTGCAAAGAACCCTGGGAATTGTAGTTTGGGAGCATGACTAGGGATTTGGCGTAGAAAAGCCATCATGTCGTCATCAGATTGCAGCTCCCAGAATCCTTTGTGGGGCAGCTATCCTGGCTTAACGTGAATGAAAGGTGTGCAAGCTCACAGTGCAAATATGTTCAGAACTGTGACTGTTGGCCCTCCTCGTCCCACTGTAATAGGGAATATTTTTGTTGCTGCAGTTTATGGATACAGCAGCTCTAGCCCTTGTCATGCGTTACTCTCTCCAGTCAGTGAATGAATAAACATACAGACACATGGGTAGGCATGTGTGGGAGAGAAACCCTTCTTATTAACAATATTTGCTCTCGCATTGCTTGAGCTGACCAGAGACACAACATGTTCAGGGTACTCTGAAGTTATTGACATGATGTTCTTAGACTAGAGTTCTCAGGAGGCCTAGCCTTGCAAGGAGGGGGGGATGATGGGAGCTTTAGTCCTTCGACATCTGGAGGTCCACAAGTTGCTCCGCCCTTTGTAGTGCCATGCTGGGTTATCCTGAGGAGGTTGCCAGTGAAGTAAGTTCACAGCCCTGTAGTCTATGGAGGGGGCAGCATACCCCCCTCCATTCAAACTGCAGACCATGAGACAAAAATATGCTACATAGATTTCTAGCAAGACAGATTTCTAGACAGGACTTTAGAGCAGCCATTCCTAGCCTAATGCCCTTCCAATGTGTTAGATACCCCCCCGCCCCACCAATTCCAAGCATGAGAGTATCAGAATGATACCAGATTCAGGACATTTGCTTCAGAGCTTTCTATATGCTGCCTGGATTCTAAGCAAGAGTATAAAATTCACATCATTGTATATCTCAGGTACAAAATTCACCTGCACCTTGCCCTCCACAAGTAACTTTAAGAGGCAGGAATAAAAATCAAAGTAGAGATAGGCGCGAACTGCCAATTTGGCAGTTCGTCCAGGTTTGTTTACGACCATAGCAGGTGTTTGGCAATTCAGTGCTCCGCCCCTTCCAGCGGGTGCCCACTCAGAAGGAGCATCCTGGCTTCCGTGCCCCGCCTCTTCCAGGCTCTGGTTCTGAGTGGGCGCCCCCTGGAGGGGGCAGTCCACCAAACACCTTTTGTGGCGGTAAACAAACTGGGCCAAGCCAGTGTTTGTGGGTCACCAAGAGTCAACCCATAGTGTTTTGAGAAACACCTACTGAATATTTTTACCCCTACCATATTAGCAGTTTTCTGTAAGTGTATGCATCCATTTATTCCCTTTGCTCTTTTGTCTGTCTTTGATTTAGGACCGGGAAAGGAAAATGTGAAGATGGAGATGGAATCAACCTGAATGACATAGGGAAGGTCCTCCCAGCCTGGCAGGTAAGTTTAAGGGCCCAACCACTACCTTTCCAAGTTCTAGCTGAAATGAAAGTCAGGTTTTCTGATGATCCAGTCCAGGCTATGGATAGTTTTCATGGTCTTCAGTTGCTGCACTGCAGTGACATCATTTCACCGTTTGGGGCAACTTGTACACTTGACAGATGGATCACACACGGATAGAAGTGCATATTTCCCATGGTTACCACTTTGTTTCCCTTTAGTCACACCATTCCTTCAAACTGCCCGATGCTCAGCTTGATGTTCTTCGCTGCAGATCTTATGACGGGAAGATGCCTTTTTTTCACACAGGAATTGTAATAGTCCTGCTCAGCTCGGCGTTTCTTCTGCCCATCCTCAGTGAATTTTGCACAGGAAAGATGCAATCCTGTGTTCCTTCCAGGAAAAAAAAATGACCATAAAGCGTTCTGAGAAATCCTGTGAGATTTTCCATGGGATTTCTTGGGGTGCGGTGGGGAGTGGCACAGAGAAATAATTCCTCCAAGGAGGAATCCTTCCAGATGCCAATGCTTCCAGAGTGGATTGGTCATTTCTGAATGGACATCATGGCACACTCCTAAGAACAGAGTCATCTGCAGAAATCCTGCAGAGAAAATGAAGACACTTGTTTTCTTCACTGTCTTGATTGTCTCATACTATTCTCTTACCGCATTCTACTTTTCCTAGCATTATTGTCTTTTCCAAAGAATCTTCTTTGTCCATGGCACGTCCAAAGTATAATAGCCTCACTTTTGTCATGTTAGCTTTCTTCTAGTGAGAATTCAGAGTTGGTTTCATCTAGAACCTCTTTACCTGTCTTTCTGGTGTCCCACTGTATCCATAATGTTCTTCCCCAGCGTACCATTTTAAATAAAATGTGTTCTTTTTCTTTGTCCTTATTGTCCAAGCATTCATATCTATACACAGTGAACTTGGTCTCCAGTAAGACATTTGTACCCTTAAGGATCTGTTCTAGTTGCCTTTGTATGTCTCAGTCATCGTCTTAATTCCTCAGCTGCACTGTTAATTTCAATTGATTACTGACTCAAGAGATAGAAGATCTTTAGCAATGTCAATTTTTGTGTTGTCAAAATGAAAGCAGTTCTGTTGTCGTTATTTTTGCCTTCTTAAGGTTCTGCTGTAATCCTGCTTTCAGTTTCTCCTTCACCCTCCCTTTCTACTGTTTTCTGCCAGTAATGTGGTAGCATTTAGATGTCTTACATCATGGATGTTTCTTCTACTAGTTTTCATTCTCCTCCATCTGAGTGTAATCCCTCTTTTCATCTGATGTGTTCTGCATATAGATTGAGCAGATGGTGACGCCTTTGTCACCTTTACCTGTTAGAAACAATTCGGGTTCTTTGTGTTCTGTCCTAACAGTAGCCTCTTAGCCACACTGTAAGTTACCTATCAAGAAAATTAAATGTTGTGGCTCACACATTATTTTATAGCATAGCATTTCATAATCCATACCTTCAAAAGCTTTGCAGTTGTTGTTGTTATGTGCCATTAAGTCACTCACATTTATGATGATCTTGTGTGTGGAGTGACCTCCAAACTGTTCTGTCCTTGTGAACTGCTTGGTTTGGAGTTTTCCCTTTTATAGAGACAATCCATCGCATAGTTGGTCTTCTTCTTTTCATGGTGCCTTCACATTTTCCTAGCATGATTGTCTTTTCCAAAGAATCTTGTCTTCTCATGATGTGCCCAAAATGTGACAGCCCCAGTTTTGTCATTTTTGTCTCTAGAGAGAGTTCAGGCTTGATTTGCTCTAGGAACCACTTGTTCCTTTTCTGGCAGTTCATGGTATCCAGAAATCTCTCCTCCCAACATCAATATTTCAAATGAATCATTTTTCCCTAGCTTTACTGCAGTCTATAAAGCACTAACTGATTTTGTTCTACAATCCTTTGGTACCTTAAAATAGCTAAGACGTTTCAAATACAATGTCTAGTGCCTCTTCATTTTCTAAATCAAGCTTGGCCATCTAAATTACTTGCTCCATATATAAGTCTTTGTTGCAAAATCTCAAGCATTCTTTGGCTTGCCTGGGATTTTAATGCAACTTAAATAGTTAATGGGCAAAATCCTTTATGTTTTCTCCAGTTATGCTGGTGAAAACAGGATCCAGAAATAATAAATAATTAATTTAAATTAATTCTATCACTTTGTTTCAGGTTCCTGGGCTCCCCAGGTCTCAATTTTGCCCTGGAGATGTCTTGGGACCAGGGAGTCAACTCTAATAGTAAAAAATTAGCACAGTCCTGATCTTGGTTTTTTTTCTTTGGAACTGGAGTGTATCTTGGATCAATCTAGTCTGTGAGTTATTATTTGTTTTCTACGTTTGTTAGCATAGTCTTGTTAAGATTTTGATAGTTACTTCAAACTAAAGAAAATCAGTATCAGTATCAATCTATCCCTGGTGATTTATTTGTTCCAATTGCTTTAGAGACACTTCCCCTTTATTTTCTAAAACTGCACAACCAGCGTCAAACAATTATTTGAAGGAGTGTGTCATCCTTTTATCTCTTCTACATACTTCTTCTGTATGTTGTTTCCATCTTTTTATCTTGATCAGATAACATTCCCCAGTTGGCATTCCAGAACCTCTTATCCAGGTTTACATTTCCTGTTGTTTTCTTTGCAGTGAGCACTGACTTTACATTAACCAGTGTGGAACAAAAAACGTTTCTAGGAAAAATTGGAGAGACTAGACACTGCTGAGTTAAAATAAGGATATTCTAGTCTTTTGACCAGAGATTTGAATCAGGATTATTTTTATCACACTATTTGTGTTAATTGTTTTATATAGTGCCATAATGTTGACAGTATTAATATGTTTGTAAGTAATTAGTATTAATAGTCTAATTCTCACCAGCAATAATTTGGGCATTTTAATTTTCCAGTCCCAGATATATATGCTGAGTGTTTAGCAAGAATTCTGTGTGACAGTTTGTGCATCTGATATGACAGGTTCATGAAAAGTTTTGCTGTAATATAGTAGTTAAACGATTGGGTTTTTTGGTCTGTCAAGTTGAATTTGGATCTTATTAAAATACAGTATTGTTTCTTGTTGGTAACCAGCAGGGGGCAGTAGATACTTGCACACTATTGATTCTCTGATTCCATATGAAAATGTGCATCGTGGCAAAACACCACAAATCTGATCTGAATTACAGGTGAAGAGGGTAAGATGGAGGCGGTGGTTTCATAGGGAAAAGGGATGTAACAAGTCACCCATTAGAAACCAAGTTGGTATGAGAAAACAGATGCAGTTTTGGTCAGAGCTGGCAGAATAACTATGGAATCATGGAATCATAGAATAATGGAGTTGGAAAAGGCGTGTCATGTCCAATCCCCTGGTCAGTGCAGGAATCTGAATCAAAGCAGATCTGACACAGGGTTGTCAAATTTTCTCTTGAATGCCTCCGGTGTTGGAGTGCTCACCACTTCCCAAGGTAATTAGTCCCATTGTCATACCCCTCTAACAGTTAAGAAGCCCCCCCCCCCCGATATCCAGCCTAAATCTGGCTTCCTATAACTCCCCTCCTCTGCATGACTATCTTTCAAGTATTTGAAAAGTCCCGTCATACCTCCCCTCAGTCTTCTCAAGGCTAAGCATGCCCAGTTCTCCCGTCTTTCCTCAGAGGGCTTGCTTTCCTCCTATAACTATTTACTGCTCAGCAATTCTCTTTCCTGGTAGCCAGCGCCTCGGGAAGCTATAGCAAAGATGTAGCTGGATGATTTCACTCCTTTTTGTGGTATAACATTTACAGCTGTAGTCAAAAAAAGATATATTTTCCAAGCTCTTGTTTCCTTTAGAGAGGACCTCCTCAGCTTTTGAGAACAACTCTCCTGTAGCACTTTTCGAGACAGTATGTTCTAATGGTTAGGGTGCTGAACCTTGGACTCAAGAAACATGGGTTTACCTCCTGGCTTGGCTGTGAAACTCACCAGGTGTCCTTGAGCCAGTGACACTCTTATGAGGATGAAGTGGAGATGACGGAAGCCATGTACTTGGCCTTGAACGCATATACAGTCGTGCCCCGCTTAACGATTACCCCGTATAACAACGAATCCGCTTCACGACGATGTTTTTGCAATTGCAAAACAATGTTTTAAATGGGGTTTTTTTCGCTGTGCGATGATCGGTTCCCTACTTCGGGAACTGGTTTTCGCTTTACGACGATCAAAACAGCTGATTGTCGGATTTTCAAAATGGCCACCGGCTGCTCAAAATGGCCCCCTGCTGTATTCTGGGATGGATTCCTCGCTTTATAGGCACCGAAAATGGCTGCTGTGTGGAGGATCTTCGCTGGACAAGCAGGTATTCAGCCCATTGGAACGCATTGAATGGTTTTCAATGCATTTCAATGGGCTTTTTTATTTCGCTTGATGATGTTTTCGCTCTGCAGCGATTTCGCTGGAACGAATTAACATCGTCAAGCGAGGCACCACTGTAAACCTAACAGACAATAGAAACTGATATAAATAGAATTAATTTCAAAAGGTAGATCAGTTAGGGGGCATCTTGTGGGCTTATGGCAGTCAAAAATCTCATGCAGCTTTTTATTTACGTCTCTGACCGAAAAAAAAAGTTTCTCTTTAAAATACAGCACCCTCTGAGCTCTCTCCGCAGAAGAGACGTTCTAGCCTCACAATTCACACAGTACGCACTAGAGGGCAATGTGACATTTCCCATACGAAATGAGCTGGAACAGAGCTTGGTGGAGAGGAAACGGCAAATGTCACTTTTTCCAAATGGTAAAATATAGTGTGTGTAGTAGCAGCGTTTCTATACACATCCTGTACAAGGGTCAGGGCACGCTCTCTTCCCATTGAAGTCATCACGGCTGACCTCAAGCTACCTAGCAAGGATCCTTTGCTCTGTGAGAGGAGGCCTCACTCTCTCCCTTTGGAAAAAATAGAGAGGAAAATTTGGAACTACAAAACTATAGACATTTGCATGGCCTTAGCCCTTGTGCGGGGATTTGCAGCCAGAC